GTTCAAATGAGAACAGGATCATTTTCATTTGGTGCGGTTGGGAAACACATGAAGGGGAGATGGGTGGTGAATTCCTATATCCCATTATTTTCCTGGACCAATCTCCCCAGCAAAATAGAAACAAAACAACTGGGAAATACCCAGATTTATTGCCATTGTCCTGAAATGTCCAGTCCAGTGATATTTAAAGTGAATCAGACAAGCTCTATCAGGGAGCACCAAAATTGGTTTAGACAGCACAGCCAGACTCCCAAATTCCCAACTGGCTGCACAACTGATCCCTCCCATTAACTCACAAAATTACAACTCCAGCCTCTGCACAGCTGAATTTTTGGAGCTTCATTGACTGCATTACGGTGGGGGTTTACACGTCTTGTGTTGCTTTACTTCATTTTGTGTGCTTTTTCAAAATCAGTTTTGTTGCATTCCATAGAGCCTTCAAATGTTCTTGAAGACTAATGGCAGAAGATGGCATCCCTGTGTAGCTTCTGCATGTTTTTAATTGAAACAGCTTTTGCATTTTATTACTCAAAATATTTGCTATTGATTTTTGGTAAGTGATCTTTATTATTTTTAAGGAGCTTCTTTCTGATTATGTTAGAAGTGTGTTTGGCTGAAAGTAACTGAAAATATGACTATGACTTAAACAAGAAACGTAGAAGCAGATAATTACCACCAATGATATAACAGCTCAATGAAGTCAGAAATGAAACGTTGTGACTAGATTGGCCTATCCCTCATGCTTGCTACCTAATGGTTGTAGAATGGCTCTACCAACTCTACCAGAATGGCTTTGCCATTCCAGGCATCACAGTCGCATTCAAGGCAAAAGCTTTATCAGAAAAAGAAGGACCAGGCATTCAGCTTAGCAGTTAAGATGCCCATGTCCCACATTGGAAGACCTGGGTTTAATTCAGCTTTGGCTCCTGACTTCAGCTTCCTGCTAATGCAGACCCAGGGTCAGCAGTGATGGCTCAAGTGATTGGGCTTCTGCCACCCAGGTGGGAAATTTGGATTAAATCAACTCCATGCCAGCTCCAGCTATTGTGGACATTTGGAGCATGAACTAGTGTGAACCAGTGGATCAAAATATCTCTCTCTCTCTCTCCCCTCTCCCCTCTCTCCTCTCCCCTCTCCCCTCTCCCCTCCCTTCTCTTTCTCTAACAAATAAATACAATTTTTTGAAATCCACAGCAGACTTCAGATAGCATAAGTCACATAGCAACCCGTAACAGTAACTGTGCCTCAGTAATGGAAGCCGTCAAGGACAGAGGAGGTTGAAAATGGGTCAAAGTTAACCACCTGACTGTGTCTGCTGGACATTCCAAACCAATTACATTTCATGTAAATCCATAATGTGCTGCCAATTCTGTCAGAAGATTCTCAACTTTAACTGACATAACCATTTTTTCCTTCGGTGGCACAGTGAATTAGGTTGATGGATTTCCTTGTTTCACTATCCTGGAACTTTTTGATCAAACCCTTCTTGATCTTAACTACTAGCTTTTTTTTTCATTGCCAGATTACATTGCTATTAATTTTACTTAACATTTTTGCATAAATAACAAGTAAAATAGTCTAGAGATTTCTCTACTTATCATCTTTCACTTCTTATGTTAAAATTACATGAGCTGAGAATTTCTCCTCCTTTTCTCTGGATCTGGAATTACTTATGTAACAGTGGAATCACGTGGTTTTTAAGAGTTAGAATTCAACAGTGAATTCATCTGATCTTGGTGCTCTATTCCATTTCTTCTGTGGTAATTGGTCAATTCAAGTTTTTGACTTCTTCAGCCAATTTTAGTGCTTAAGTTTTGATTTCTTCTGACCATTTGTTGAGCTTTCACACTCATATTCTAGGATATATTCACAATCTGTGTGTGTGTGTGTGCACACGCGCATTTGTGGATCTCTTTCTCTCATTCTATTTCCTCATGTCCAACATTAAATTATGCTTGCTTTCAAAGAATTTATCCTTATTTTCAAGATCTTTTCAAAAACATGGTGTTATTTACCTTTCACATTTGGAGAATGCTCTACTTCATCAATTTCAGCTACTGTACTTTTCTACCTTCTTAAAACAAAACTATAATCCTGTATTTTGTTTATCTTCTTTAATAATAAAGGTACAATATGTTTTCTTTGTCTTGTATGTCGCTTGTACTTTTGAGTTCCTCTTTGGACCAAAAGTTATCTAGAAAAGTCTTACTTTTCAAGTAGTTAAGTATTTGTGGGGAAAGGGCAGCAGTGAGAAGAACCCCTTTGTTATTAGTTTTACTGTTATTGAATTGCAACCAGAGAATGTAGCCCATAAAATCACTACTTTATTTGATTTGTGAGGGTTTCCTTACAGCCAAATATGTAATTGATTTTTTTTTTGTCTCACGAACAAACAAAAAAAATGTATATTTTCATCTTGAGTGATATATGATTCTAGACAAATCTGTTCAAATAAGTATGTTGATCATATTATCCAATCTTCTATGCACTCATAGTTATCTGCTTTGTATGCCTGGTCATATTTTTTTTAATTTGTTTTTCCCCACAAAGAAACCTTTTATTTAAGGAATACAGACTTCATGCATTTCATAAGTACAGCTTTAGGAATATAGTAATTCTTCCCACCATACCCACTCTCCCACCCACATTCCCACCCCTCCTCCTCTTCCCTCTCCCATTCCCAGTCCCATTCTCCACTAAGATCCATTTTTGATTAACTTTATACACAGAAGATCACCTCTATACTAAGTAAAGAGTTCAACAATTTGCATGAAAAAGAAAAAAACCTCCTCAACAGTAGAGACAAGGGCTGTTCAAAGTCATTGCATCTTGAAGTTAATTTCACTTTTTTTTTAGAAACTTAATTAACTTTAAAGCAGCACCCAACAATGATGCATTTTTTGCAAGCACTTAGACATAATTGTAATACAACTCTTTGAGTACAGAGTTCCTGCATGGGAAGTTAGTGCACGATGACTCTTGTTAACTTAACAATTAACACTCTTATGTATGACATCAGTGATCACCTGGGGCTCTTGACATGAGCTGCCTAGGACATGGACACCTTTTGAATCCACAAACTCCATCAGTATTTAGACAAGGCCATAGCAAAATGGAAGTTCTCTCCTTCCTTCAGAGAAAGCTACCTCCTTCTTTGATGATCACTTCTTTCCCCTGGGGTCTCACCCACCAAGGTCCTTCATGTAGGACAAGTGTTGCCACAGTGTCTTGGCTTTCCATGCCTGAAATGCTCTTTTCAGCAGACCAGAATGCCTTAAGGGCTGATTCTGAGGTCAGAGTACTACTTTAAAGCGATTGTCATTCTATGAGTCTGCTTTGTGGACTGCTTCCCACGTTGGAGGATTCCCTCCTTTTAATTCTGTCTGTTATTATTCCAAGACACTTAATCCTATCCATGTAATCTCTTTAACACTTAAGATGGTATTTTTATCACCCAGTTTAAGGGGATTTGGGGTCCCATGGCAAGTTTTAAAACTGTTCCCTTATAAGTAAGCCTGAAGGAATGTATGCAGAACTATACAGCTTTACAATCACGAATTTCATACACTTCATAATTACAACTTTAGGAACATGGTGATTCTTCCCACCATGCCCACCCTCCCACCCATACTCCCAACCACTCTTCCTTCTCCCTCTGTTATTCCCAAAACATTTCTGGTTTCATAGCTGAATTTCTAGTAGATTGTACTATGTGGCTGCTATATTAATGTATATGATTCCTAGTGTATAAACATCCTTGAATCACTTCAAAAATCTTCCTGTTTATTTAATTTTATTTATTATTATTATTTTATTTATTTAATACTATAACTTTAAATTCTACTTTGTCTAATGTTGCCAGTCCTCTCTTTGCTTTTGCCTTCCATCTCTTTGTGCCTTTCATTATTTTCAACTTTTACCTATTTAAGTGTTTGTTTTATCTGTTCAAGTTTCTTACAAATACAGGACTGAGTGTCCTCTGGGAAGCATTTTCAAAGATCTTTCTTCTCCCTTCTCCTCATCCCAGTGTCCAGGTTGTTGCAAGAGAGTTTAGCACCTTATTTTCAAAAATATTAGTAGAATTTCCTTTGCCATATGCCTCTTCTATTTTTTTTTTTTTTTTTTGGACAGGCAGAGTGGACAGTCAGAGAGAGAGACAGAGAGAAAGGTCTTCCTTTGCCATTGGTTCCCCTCCAATGGCCGCCACAGCCGGTGCACTGCACTGATCCAATGGCAGGAGCCAGGTACCTATCCTGGTCTCCCATGGGGTGCAGGGCCCAAGCACTTGGGCCATCCTCAACTGCACTCCCTGGCCACAGCAGAGAGCTGGCCTGGAAGAGGGGCAACTGGGACAGAATCTGGTGCCCTGACCAGGACTAGAACCCGGTGTGCCGGCGCTGCAAGGTGGAGGATTAGCCCAGTGAGCCGCGGCGCCGGCCATGCCTCTTCTATTTCAAGACTGCTCATTCAATATTGATGCTACGTGCTTGCAGTCTAACATTCCCCAGGAATTTTTCACTGTTGTATTTGCCAAGGTAATTCCAACTGCTATAGCATATAAACCTTGAAATCTAAGAGGCCTAAGACAATGTATGTTTCACACTCATAGGAAGTCAAAGCTGACGCAGGAGGCTCTGCTCCTTATGTCACACAGAAACCAGGCTGATGACGGCCTTCCATTGTCACCTCTTGGCCGCCAAGGTCTCCCTGAGTGTTAGTGTCTTGACTGGTAAATGGAGAATGACACAGAATGGGCCAGCCTGAGTGGCTTATATCCCTTATACCTACAACTCACTCACCAAAACTGAGTTGTGTGTCTACACAGAACTGATGGAGAAATGTAGCTTTGTTCTATCCATAACAAGAGATGGAAATGAACTTGGTGAACAAATTTTCATCATTAAATATCCATTTAATTGAGAGGCACTCCGCCTTCCTTGAAGAAATGCAACCCAAACTCACTTAGCCATTGCATCCCGATCAAAAGCCCAGGAACTCACCAAGGATGTACAGTCCTCTCCAGCAGGAGCAGCTGTGATCCCAACTGGCAGTGACCCATGAAATGAGACAAATTGACTATCCCACCTCACACGTACACTGAAGAGATTCAATCTGGAAAGTCCCAAACAGAGACAGAATGAGCCCAATAAAAACTCCTTTTTCAAAAAGAATGAGTTGGGTGATTCCAGTGGCCACTGTCCACAGATGTTCCAAGGCTCTCCTGGAAGGAAAGCTGAAGGCCCCCTGCTGGCAGTGGGGAGGCACCCATGAGGCCCTGCTTCTACACCCCAGAGGAACTCCCCGGTCCTATTCTTCAAACCTTCCTTGCCTCTCTCCAACATCTCCATCCCCTTAATCTTATCTTTTCCATGAGGCTACATTCTAATGGGCATTCATTGTTCAAAGTATTTCTCAGATTGATCTAAAAGTCTAGAAACAGATGACTTTCCCAACTTGGCAAGGTCTCCAGTTTCTCCTCCTCTGTCTGCTGGCTCCAGACCACAGGAAATTTTGGAAGAGAGGAATTGAAACCCGCAAAGCCCCCACAGTCTGGGTCCTGCGCAGAGCTGTGTGTTCCACCACACCCACCACTGCCGCCAACACCATCACCATCACCATCACCACCACCACAGTGAGGGGAGTCTACGAGAGCAAGAAATGAGCCCCCGTGAGGATGAGCTGTGAAGGTGCCGTGGGAGGTTGCCTTGACCACACACTAAAAGGTTTACTTTCTTTTCTTTCCCCCATTCTCTTCCGTCTTGCTGTCCTTCTGTTTTGCATGTCCTTTTTAAAAAAATTATCTTCAGATGTGAGTTATGGATTCTCTAAATGACGGCAACTCTCATAATCGTAGACGTCTTTCTTTCCAGGTGAGGTATGCACCACGTGTCTTTGAATCCAAGATTCTTTCCATGGCAGATGATGTATCTTTCATTTATTTTTTTATGCCGAGATAAAGAGAAAATACTTAGCAATTAAGTGATTTTTTTTATATCTTGGAGTTTTGTTTTATAGTTATTGACAAAACTCTTTCAGGCTTGGTTAGGTATAGATTTTTACCATGGTTCACTCTTTCGAGTTAATAAGGAGAATTTGACACAATCAGTGGGGTAAGGCATCCATGACGTCTCTTCCCAGATCCCAGACATCCTAAACTACTCATTAACTCAGAATTGTAACATCATGGCTACCCACGTAATATCATCTGCTCTACCACCAAACAAGTTCATGAAAGAAGCTTCCATTATTATCTCCAGGATTTTCATCCAAAATACTTCAACTTCCATCCCGCAAGCTTTGATGCCAACACTTTTTTAAAAAAAATCTTAGAAAACATCAACAGAGTTTCACAGAACAGCCCCGGGACTCATATTCTTTTCTAGTCACTTCAGGGTTTGTTTGGAGACGCTGTCCCAGCCGGAAGTGGCCCACAAAGCTCTAGGGTCCCCAGCTAAGGCTTCACTCCTGTTCAGCGGCATCCCCACCTCAGCAGAAGGGGCAGCAGAGCTACAGTTAGAAAGGGAAGGAAGGTGGGTTGTCTTCCCAGAAAGGCCTCAGCTCTTTTCCTGCATGTGGGGTCTACGAGAGAAATAACTGCACAGAATACAAGACCCAATGAGGCTACATGCACCATTCCATCCCTGCCCATGCACGGGATGCCGCATTTGGAACCATTATCCCACAGCACTGGGAGGAGTCTGCATTAGCAAGCCTCTGCCTATGGGGACCCTCTCTGGGACAGTAGGAGAAGATAGGAAACTACAGGATTTGGAGTCAAACCGAGAACTGGTTTTGGCACAAACACACTCCACCTGCCCTGAGTGGAAGCTCAACTGAGCCCAGTAAAAGGACAGTCAACCTCTCCGGGGACGCCTGTTAGAATGAGGACGGTTCAGACAGTGGCATCAGAGCCCTCAGTTCAGATGTGGCCATGGCTTGGCCACCGGCGATTTGTTGAACTTCAGTTTCCTTGCTGAAAAGACACTGCCTACCTGAGATTTGCTGTAAGAGTAAATGCATCACGTGAGAGAAACTGTCTCATTCAGGACTGCTCGCAGAGGGGGCCCCCCGGAAGTATTCGCCCCTTGCCTATTTCTCATCATATTCTCCCCTCTGTGAGGAGGACTGTGGCGTGAGCTGGCTGGGCTCCCCATGGCTGAAACATGTGAGGCTAACAATGTGGTTACTGGCCATGCTTGTTCTGTCCCAGATGTTGCCCTCAAACACTTCCACGTTTCTGGTTGAAATTTGAGTGACAAAAAAGTGCATAGGACAGTGCCAAACCCCCAAAAGGACAGTCAGCAGGACCTGTTATTCTCTTTCTATCCATTCTTTCCTTCTCCCTCCCCTGCCCCCGGACATTTCTACTGTGTAAAAACAGAGGGGCATCATGTGCTCCAAGAATCATGAAAGCAGTGAAGGAGAGCAAGGGGGTAAGAAATGGCCACAGGCAGCGAAAGGGGTCGGCCATGTGGGAGAAACAGAGAAACTCCTTTCTGACGCAGAGGGGAAAATCAATCCTGCAGCTCTCTCTGGGAAACACTGTAGATCACAACCCACAGGAAGATGCAGTTTTGATTTTTTTTATTTATTTATTTTATTTTTTTACTTTTTATAGGCAGAGTGGACAGTGAGAGAGAGAGACAGAGAGAAAGGTCTTCCTTTACCGTTGGTTCACCCTCCAATGGCTGCTGCGGCCGGCGCACTGCGGCCAGTGCATCACGCTGATCCGAAGCCAGGAGCCAGGTGCTTCTCCTGGTCTCCCATGGGGTGCAGGGCCCAAGCACTTGGGCCATCCTCCACTGCACTCCCGGCCATAGCAGAGAGCTGACCTGGAAGAGGGGCAACTGGGACAGAATCCGGCGCCCCAACCGGGACTAGAACCCTTGTGCACCACAAGGTGGAGGATTAGCCTAGAGAGCCCCGGCGCCAGCCCACAGTTTTGATTTAAAAGCTGTCGGTCCTACTGAATCTCCAAACCTAAATAGACATCAACACTCACCAAAGTCTACCACGTGGCTGGAGACGTATGTCCCAGTGTATATTGAGCGCACCCTGGGACATATAAGAACAAAATTCTCTCAGTGGTTCAAGAATGAACAGATGTAGCAGCTGGGCATTGCCACTCCCAAGCCTGGAAACAAAGGTTGAGCTGAACAGGCTTGGAGCAGAACCCACGTTTTCAGAGATTGCTGGGAGGGTTCCAACCAGTCTTTCATTCGTTCAAGCTGCTGTCTTTCCAGTGGGAGGTAGGGACCCAGCCTCTGGGGTTTCCAGATACCTTGACTTGCCCAAGAGCCCAAATCCTTTCAGTATGTATGTTGAGCATTAAATACTTCATGAAAAGGAACGACTGACTTAGTTCCTGGGGCTTCGGCTTTTCCAGAATTGACTCAGACCAAAGCTCTGTGCACCCAGCAACCATCACAAGGGGGTGCAGATTAATAAACCCAGAAGCAAATTATTCCTGGCTGCTCTACAGCTTCAAGGTTTTTTCCATTTAATTAGCTCTAGCAGGTAAAGGCCAGGTTGTGTGGAACCCCATTTTAAACCTCCTAATGGAAAAGTTAAATCAATTCTATTCAAAATGTTTAGAAAACAAAAAATCATTATCAAAAAGTCTCAAAGTTAAACCTTGGATTGAAACAAAATATAGCCTAGGATTTGTCTTAGAGAAAATCAGTTTCCCAACGACAACCTGAATGAGCTCCGACTTTAATGGTGCCATAAAAGTGTTTCATGCAACACTCAGAGCCAAGATCCGATAATTCCTTTGTGAACTATGAAAGAAATCTATCACTGAAGCCTTGTGGGCAAGAACACGGATTTAGGGGGTCAAAACACCAAGCATCGCCATTCATGACCCCACCACATGAACTCTTAATTAATTATGGGTGTCCTAATGTGAAAAATACTTTCATAACTGAAGGGTGACCTGTTCCCATTCATAGGCAGACCACAAATCAGTCACAACTCCCCAAACACCGTGAAGGAGCGGCTCAATTTGTATCCGTGTTGAACTCTGAGTGTTGCATAATTTATATCTAAAATCCACTCTCATACATCTACTAAAATACCCATGCTGACCTTCGCTCCCAATCCCAACTGCATTAAAAGGGACTATAAATCACTGGGACGCAGGCACCCAATCACAGCACAGCGCTCTCAGAGCCTGGCAACTTCCTTCCCTTGATGAGTTCATCATCCCCCAGAACGGGTTATAAAAATGGTGCACATTTGGAGATAGTAATTCAAAGCTTCTTCATTTTACTCCGGGGTTCATTGTCCGCCAGGTGAACTAAGTGGGGGCGCAGATAAATGGAGCAGCCAGGCGCAGTGGAACCTCCCATTTATCCCAATCTGGAGAACACCACTGCAGATCCACGCTCCCACTCTGCGATGAGTCTGCCCACAGTTTAAGAGAGCTCTGCTTTCATCTTCACAGACCTTGTATCCGAGGACAGCCTGAGCCACCCGGAAGCTCCTCCTTTCATTCCAGCGAAGCTTTGCCCCCAGGCACAGACATTTCTTGATCCCTGAAAGACCATGTTCTGTTTACTCAGTTTTGCAAGGGAAGCAGAGCTTTGGAAAACCCTCCCAATCCCTGGATGCCGTTAAATCCGTTGTGCTGGCAATGCTGAGGGTGAGAGTCCACCTCCAGCCCAGATCACCGTACAAGGCAAGAACCGGAAGTCCTGTGCAACAAAAGGAAGTTGCTTCCGGCAGTTTCCAGGGAGATCCAGGAAGAACTGTGAAGAAGGCTTCCTACCAGCTGCCGGCAGTGGAGCTTAGGACTGTCCTCAGCAACTATGGGGTAGGAATCGACCCATCCAGGGTGCAGCCGTGGGCACTCAGGCTGGGACAATAGCAGGGCTTGCTCTGCAACAGACCTCCCATGAACCCGTCCATTGGGAAGCGGTGTTCTTGCAGTTGACCTTTATCTGCCCTGCTCACAGAGCTCTAGCAGTGACCTCCACAGCCAGGTGTTCGATGTGGCTCCATCCCCACCGTGCACCAGAGCAGGACTGTGCTTTGCCCCCTGCAAACATCCACTCAACTCCCACCATAAACACAGCTGGCCGCCCTGCTAAAAATAAGGGGAGGGAATGTGGACCG